GTGCATAGAGCATTGTAAATGTGCATAGAGCATTGCAGATGTGCACAGAGCATTGTAAATGTGCACAGAGCATTGTAGATGTGCACAGAGCATTGTGCAGGGCTGACAGAAACGGGTCTGATGGAAAACTGGTTCAACGCCGCTCAGGCAGCTCTGTGTGCAGAGGGAGGGATTCATTCCTCAGCCTCCACCACCCCGGGCATGGAGGCACCATGAGAAGCTTTCCCAGCCTCATTCAGTCCAAAGCTGCTGCCTGCAAGGGAAAAGCAGCTGTGTGGGGCTCGCTGCCCTCAGCCGGGCAAGCGCCCATGGAGCTGGATGCTCCTCCGGCAGCTCAAGCGGAGGGCATCCAGCGGTGCTGGGTGGTGCAGTGGTTGTGTAGGATCTTCTTTTCCTTGTGTTGGGAAAAGGGCTTTTCCCTTCAAACAGGCAGTGGGGAGGAGGCAGCAGTGTGCATGGCGGTGCGGTGAGATGAGCTGCAGTGGGATGGGACCATGCTGGGAGCAGGAGTGGCTTCACGACCGGCGTTGATCCCACAGAGCCATTAGGGAAGAGCAGAGCTAGCTATCCAAGCAAGCCATCAGGGAGGGGAGGGGGTCTCACCAGTGGGACCCAGCCTCAGATCTTCTTCTTGCTATTGGAGCTCTGCACGCGCTTCCGCAGCCACATGGCGTCCAGGTAGATGTTGCGCTTGAGGATGGCGCTGGTGCAGAGGAAGGCTCCCTGCAGTGCTCCGGCGAAGCCACACAGAGCCACGTCCTGCCCTGCGAGACAGAGGGGACAGTGCCACCCCCAGCTCTGCATCCCTGCCCCTCTTCATCCCCAGCACGGAGAGGGCTTTGCCTTGCCCAGCTCAGCACAACAGTGCCAGGCGGGGAGGCTGCACCCGGGGCTGGGGGACACGCGATGCCCCCATTGGGGCTGAGTGGATCGGAGGAACTTTGATGCGGCCCAAGCATCACCCCGTAGCGTGGCAGCAGCTCATCCCAGTATTTCATAGCAGGATTGAAGGCTTTGTCCTCCTACTCCACTTCCCCAGAGTCACCCCCCGGAACGGAGGACGCGGTACCTGTCAGGTAGAGGTTGGGGACAGCGGTGTGCGGCCGTGCGGTGGCGATGGCTTCGATCTGCGTGCGCGCCATGTCGTGCTCCATGCCGTAGAACTCCCCGCGGGGGCTGGCGATGTAGTGCTGGTTGGTCAGCGGTGTCCCCCCCGAGATGTGCTCAACCTGTGGGGGACAAAAGGACACGGCGGTCCCAATGGAGCAGGCCACAGTGTGGGGTGCCTCATGCTCAGGAAAGCTGTTTTTATGGGGCACTGTATGGGACAAACCTCCTTGCAGACTTTCGGGTGGTGGCTGAGGCCACGTTTGGTCCGACGGGTTGGTGCCCCTCTGCCCAGCCAAACCTCACTCCTGCAGCCCCAGTGTGTGCTGGGCAGGCAGGAGCCAGGATCTGAGCCCAACAGCCACAAACCCCGTGTCCCCTCACCTTGTCCTCGATGTGGGGGTACAGTTTGAAGACGGTCTGCATGATGGCGTCCACAAACGTCTTCTTCACGTCCTCATAAGCATCTCCCCTCTTATGGACTGGCCTGTCCTTCCACTCCTCAAACCACTCGTACTTGGCCATGGTGATGATGGACAGCGTGCTTTTACCTGCAGGGAGACAAGGTCGGGGCATGCATCCCTCTGCCACCTGGCGCCACAAACCCCAAATCCCCATTCTCACACCAACATTGGGGCAGCTCTGGTCCCAAGCCTTTGGTGCAGGCATCCAGCAGAGCCTCTCCTCCCTTCCTTGTATCTGCAGTGAACTTTCCACAAGCTCAGCAGCTTGGAGGCCCTCGGCCCGCTTTCCGAATGAAACCAACTCACAGCCCCCGTTTGCAGAGACCCGCAGTGCGACGTGGCAGCACTGGGGGTTGGCCAAGGAACCCCTGCCTGGTGAGGTTCAGCAGCGCTGCATCACCTGGGTACCGCATCTCCCACGTGGGGTCTTTGGCAGACGGGCTGGTGACAAACAGCAGGGGGATGTTGGCGGCTGCCTCGTCGCGGGAGCTGCTGTAGTAGCGCCGCATTCTGCAGAGAGACGCAGAGGTCTGGGGTGCGGCTGGGGCTCCAAGTCCCCACCCAGAAACCATCTCTCCTCCATGCTTAGCGAACGTACATTTGGTCCAGATTGGTATCTGGGTAGATGTAGTAGTTGGTGGCTTCCAGCCCCAGCTCCTGGCTCGAGCCTCTGAGCCCCACGAATACGGAGAAGCCAGCTTCGCCGTGAGTCGCCATGCGCAGCCGGGACTGAATCTCTGCGGAACGAAGGAAGGGGTGGAAAGTGAGGGTGGAGAGGAAGCTGTGCGCAGCCCCACATTGCCCCCATCACTGTAAATCTAGCTGAGAGCATCCCATGTGCACCCACGGGGCGGGAGGACCACTGGGAGCCATAAAGCAGTGGTGCCTCCCTGTCCGGGGAGGTTTTGCTGATTGGTCCGTTCCCATTTGGGAGTTTTAGGGCAAGCCCAGTGTGGGGCTGGGTGTATTTAACCATGTTCTGTGATTCCCGTGCTCCTTTTCTGAATGTCTGCAGTCCCCAGCAGGTTGCACTGGGCTTTGCCGCTGTCTGGGAAGGAATTACCATGACACTCACTGATGGTTGGAGCTGAGAGGGGATCAGTGCCCTGATCCCAATTAAACCCAGCACTGCACAGGGGGCTTTTACCAGGCAAAGCGCGCGCCTCGGGCGGCAGCAGCCGCTCATAGGTGTTGAATATCCCTGCATCCGAGATGACGATGGGAGCGAAGATGTTCACCACGTCCTCGCCCTTCTTGACGCTCACACCTGGAAGGGAGGAGGGCTGAGGGTAATGGCAGCACAGAGGGAACGGGGGGAGCCGCGTCCCGGATGCGTCGCTCACCGCAGGCTTTGCCCTGGGAGTCCAGCAGGATGCTCTGCACCGGCGCCCGACCCAGCACGTTGCCACCAGCCCTCTGGATGATGGGGATGGTGCGGAAGACGATCTCCCCCGAGCCACCCTTGGGGTACCATGCGCCCCACAGGTAGTGGTGCAACACGATGCTGTGCAGGGAGAAGCTGGCCTTGGAGGGCAGCACGCCTGGAAGGGGAGCACAGCGCGGTCTTACTGGGTTTGCAGCATAACCCAAAGGGGTTGGGATGAGGGATGGTTTGGCTGGAGGGACGCGTGTGGGAAATGAGGAGCAGAGGAGCAGAGGTCCATGTGAGGAGCTGGCACTGACATGCCTGGGGCATCGCCCCGCAGATCTGGGTTTCACAACCCTTGGCTGCGCTCCAGCATCCTGAGTCACTCAGAACTGGGACAGGAGGGAGGAAAGTCAGGGCCAAAGGGCTGTGGGCGCTGGGTCAGGGCAGGACAGCCACTCCTCCACCTGCGGGGGTACTGCGGTCTGCAGGGAATCTGAAGGACATGGGAAAGGCCCCGGGATGGGGTGGGTGCAGAGGATGCAGCACGCGGCGTCCTGCCCTCAGGGGTTCCATTAAGGTGGTGAAATGCAAAGGCAAAGCGGGGGTGTGAGGTGGGACGGGTCTGGTGTGCAAAATGAGGGCCTCTAAAAGGAAAGGAGGGGAAGGGAAAGGGAAAGAGGAAAGAATAAAGGGGAAAGGGGAAAAAAGAGGAAAGGGGAAGAGAAAGGGGAAGAGAAAGGAGAAAAAGGGTGAGAGAAGAGAAGGGAAGGGAAAGGGAAAAGAAGGGACAGGAGAGGATAAGAAGCCTTTTGTTTTTGCTCTTAAAGGATCCAACTTTGCTCTGGTGTGCCCGAGCGCCCTGGCAATTTACCGTAGGTGGGGAAGATGTAGCTGAACATGGCCCTGAGCTTGGCGTTGGTGGTGAGGCCATCAACCACGTCCTTAACGCTGTGTGAGGTCATCTGGCAGAAGGGGCTGAGCAGGGACAGCAGCCCCAAGCGGCTCAGCAGCCGCACCAGTGGCAGTGGCAGCAGTTTTAGCACACCCAGAACCCAGAACCCAGTAGTGACACTCTGCAAGAGAGGAGAGCAATGTGCAGAGCTCACTGGGGGGACCTTTAGGGACTCCTGAGATCATCTTGAGAATCCCTGGGGACTTCTGAGGAACCCTTGAGCAATTTTGGGGTCCCCTAGGCCACCTTAGGACCCCTTTGGGGACCTCTGGGTACCCCCCCACTCTGGGGGAGGCTGCCAGGGGATGGATGCAAAATGGGATTTCTCCCTTTATCTGCTATTAGGAAATGGCAATGATGTGAATCTGCAGCACTGTGGGGAGGGGAGCACCCGACCCTACAAAACACCCCCAGAGTGCAGCCCCATTTCCCAGAGGTGGCAGAGCACAAATCCCACTTTCACCCAACGTGATGTTAATGGTGATGACCCAGGAGGTCCTGGAGCATCGCCCCGCAAATGTGGGGGCTGCAGGGTCTGTGCCCCCCGTGCCCCACTCAGAGCACAGCTTATGGGCACCCTCTGAGCAGGGTCAGGAGCTCCGGGTGCAACACGCTGGGGCAGTTGTGCAACGTGGCTGCGCAGTAGCGCTGCCAAACAGCTGCCCCCGGGCAGGGGGGCAGGAATTTCCCCCCCCCCAGGAAGGAGCACGTGAGCCACGAGTGGAGCCACACGCTGCGAGCGCAGCCCCACGGCCCCATTACCTTCACCAGCCGCTTGAACTCATCGATGGTGGCTTCCTCACCGGGGAACTGCTCCTTCAGCCTGCTGAAGTAAGTCCTGGCCCCGGAGCAGAGCTGGATGGCTTTGTCACGGCCGGGCTCTCCCAGCACCACAGCATCGAAGGTGGGAGGCATGGGGGCCCACTCCAGCTGCCCGTCCGTCAGTTGGTCCACCAGGAAGCGCCACAGCGAGCCGTCGTGCAGCTGTCCCACGTAGTGGATCCCTGGGGAGTAACGCTGCGTGAAGTCGTGTGTGTGTGTGTGAGATCTGGGGATGCTTCTTCTCCCTACACTGCTGTCCCCACCGCCCCACTTGGGGTGCAGAGTCCGTGCTCCGAGGGAAACCCACCTGCCCAGCACTGCATATTAGGAAGGTGGGTACTCATTAATAGAATCCCGTGCTGCGCTGCTGTAAATAACGGCGTACGGGCTGAGGGGCACACGGAGCTCGGTGGGGGCTCTGCGTGTGCAGGGGGTGCTGTGGGCTCTGGACCCATTCCTGCAGCATGCCAGCAGGGCATGCCACAGCGCCAGCACTGCTATGGGCAGCACCGCCGCCACGTCCTCCAGCAGAAAGAGGATTTGGGGCAAAGGCAGCTCTGCCATCCACCTCTGCTCATCCCACTGGGACCACAGAGCGACACCGTATGGGTGCCGGCCAACCGCCCAGATCCTCTCCGAAAAGGTTTGGGTCGCAGCCCCCTGCCCTCCCCGTGCCCACACGTACCGGTGTCGAACTCGAAGCCCTTCTCGCTGAACGCATGGCAGCAGCCCCCCAGCCTGCCGTGCTGCTCCAGCACCAGCACCCGCCGGCCCACCTTGGCCAGCAGCACGGCCACCGCCAGCCCCCCGATGCCGCTGCCGATGACGATGGCATCGAGCTTCTCTGGGACTTTTTCTGGAGAGAAAGCTGAGGGATGGGGGGTCCTCAGTGCGGGGTGACACCCAAAATGTCATCCGTGCTCGGATGGCATGGGGACGGGAGCAGCGGGAGCGGGGCTCTCGGGGTTTGCTGGAGGAGCGTAGGGAGGCACGGGGGGCATTTCGGGGGGATATGGGCATAGCAGTCCCAGGGCATCCTGGGGAAGAATAGGGACGGGGCACCCGGAGAACCCCGGGGAAGTACGGGGATCCCGTGGCACCTCGAGGTTGAGGGTCCCGGGGCATTCCTGGGGGGCGGTTCGGGGATGCGGATACCTGCTTTCAGCACCGTCCGACGAACCGCCTTATCGGTGATCAGCGGGGCCGGCGGGCGCCGGGTATCGACGGCGAAGGGGTTGGGGCCGCGGGACCTGATCCAGCGATACAAGGCGAGGACGGCGAGGAGGAGGACGAGAAGGAAGGCGAGCACCGCGTACAACCCCATGCCGCTGCCGGCAGCTCTGGGCTGCCTCTGTCCGCAGCCCTCCGTTTGGCCCCGCCCTCAGCCCCGCCCCCTCGACAAATCCCAGCCCCCTCGCTAAGCCCCGCCCCTCTCCGCTAAGCCCTTCCCCCTCCGTGCTCCACACGCGCAGTGCATGCCGGGTGCTGCAGTCCCGCGCGCCCCCCGCCGGCTCCAGGACTACAGCTCCCGGCAGGCAGCGCGGCGGCGCCTGCGCACTGCGGGGCGGCCGGGAGGGTCGCGGCCGGGAGGTCCCGTCGCCGCTTCCGGTGGGCGTGGGGTCAGAGGGCAGAGCCGGGGGCAGCGGCGGGGGTAGAAGGGTGCGGGGCCAGCGGGGGGCCTGGGCGGAGTTACAGAGTGAAGGCCACCGGGGGTGGGCAGGGCCCCTTTAAGCACCTGGAGACCTCCTGGGCCGCGCTGGGGACTCTCTGGGGACCTTTGAGGCCTCCTGGCCGTGCTGGGGGTGTCTGGGGATCCCGCAGGCCGCATCGAGGACTCTTTGCAACCCCTTGAGGACCTCTTAGGTCGTTTTGGGACCCCTTCGGGTACGTCTCACACAGCCCTGGGGACCCTTGGGTACATTTGGGCTCCCGTAGGCCACCTTGGAAACCACTGGGGCCACCTTTGGGAGCTCTGCGGACCCTTGAGAAACCCAGGGCCTTCCACTGACCAGCACCGCCTTCCCCCCACAGGCCATGAATGCCCAGCCGGCAGACACCACGCAGCCTGAGGAGCCCCTGCTGCCCCCTGAGCCCCTTCCCACACATGTCAGGGGTGAGCAGCACTGGGCCTGGGAGCAGCAGGGGACAAGGGCTCTAGGCTGAGATCCCAGCCCTGAGGCCTCCCAGCCTCCTGTAGGCATTGGGGTAGGATTGTTGGGTTTCATTATGGCACGCGGGGCAAGGGATGCCATGAACGTGTCCTGATAAAGGCTATGGGGGGCACGTGACCCCCTCGGGGTCTTTCCCAGCTCTTGCCTCCAGTGTGTGCTTCCCTTGGCAGGGATCAGTGCGGAGCAGCGGAGCGCCCAGGAAGAGTGGGAGGCAGTGGAGGATATCCAGTCAGGTACAGGTCCCAGAAGTGCGTGGGATGGGGCCACAGCTCACACAGGGGCTGGGGAGTGGCTTGGTTGGGGTGGTGGAGGAGAGCTGGGGAAAGGGCAGAAGGGCTGGGAGGAGGAGTTGGCTGCAGGCTCCCTTCATTCCCCACTATCCCAAGTCTTGGTGTTACTGCAGCACCAAGGTGTGTAGAGCAGCTCCCCAGGATGCAGCTGCTGCTCTGGGGTCAGGCAGAACAGGTTCTGGCACTCATTGCCCTGATGTGGATGCAGGGCTGACGCTGCCCCATGCTGTTCTGCAGTGCTGCTGGGGAGATCAGCTGGTCCTGTGCCCCTCATATCCTTCAATGAAGCACTGCAGTTCTTCCAGACCACAGACCTGTCCGAGTGCAGGGTATGTGCAGGACCAGAGGCTCCAAACTTCACTCCAGAGTTGTTCCCTGCCTCGTGCTCTCTAGTTGGGCAGCTCTGTCTTGTGCTTCTCTTTCCCATTGCTTCTGCCCTCCCTCAGCCGAGCTCTGTGGGATCCCTTTCCCTCCCAGCTCACCCGCTGGCTTTTCTCTCAGGGGACAGATGTGCCCTCATTTCTTTGCCTTCTCTCCGCAGAAGAAGATCCAAGCAACGGTGCACAGGCAGGGCCTGGCTGCTCTGCTTCACTTCCTCTTCGGGCCCCCCCGGCTCCAGCAGCAGCTGCAGGGCGAGCGGGATCTGGCTCTTGCCATTGCTCAGTGTGAGTGCTCCCTCACATCCCCCAAACTGCCACTCCTGTATTGTTGTCCCCAGCAGTGTCACACTGAGCACTGCTGCTCCTGCATGGGATTCATGTGGAGCAGCTCAGTGGGTCTCGGGCACAGCACAGTCTGTTCTTCACCTGTGGCAGTGTGCTTGTCCCAAAGGACGTGGTCCCTGTTTGCTTTACTGACACACTGATGTTTGCTGGTGGAGGAGGACAGATCTCTTGACTCTTCTGCCACAGAAGCTCTTCCATGTGTCTGCTTCCAGCGAGAGAGCTGCATGGTGCCAGGCTGGGGCTGCACAGCCCTTCCTTGCTCAGTGACCAAAGCAAATGAGGTGTGAACCCAGAATCATAGGGTTGGAAGGGACTTCTGGAGATCATGCAGCCCAACCCCGCTGCTAAAGCAGGTTCCTTGGGTTGGCATTCGTTCTGCCATGGCTCCTGTCCTGGCTCTGCATCCAGCACAGCCTTTGGGTCTGGCTGTCCCATGGCAGGTTGCTTGTGCTGAGCACATTTGTACGAGGAGAATCCTCACCTGTGCCCCTGGTTTGTAGTTTGTCAAGGTTCCCCTGGCAGTGCTACCTCAGCCAGCAAAATTCCACAATGTTGGAGTTCCGTAGCACCAGCACTTATAAATGCACTGTATGGTGTTGCTGCGCCTCTCGTGCGTTGTTTTTTCCCTCTGTTCACCTCTAGCAGGATAAACGTGGGGAGGACATCCTCCCTGTTGCCCTAAGCAGCTTTTTGTGGGGTTTTGTTCCCTGCTGCAGCTGCTGGTGGTTGCTGTCCCACCACATCCCCCTGGAGGCAGCTGAGGGCAGCAGGCTGCTCGGTGTCTTTCCTCCACCAGGTGGCTTGGATGATAAGCAAGCAGTGCACATGAGAATCCTGCAGACCATCTACAAGAAGCTGACCTGCTCCCCGCTGGGATGCCCACGCTATGGCACGCACTGGGAGGAGCTTGGCTTTCAAGGTACAGCACGGAGGGACCTCAAGAACAAACCTCTGCCCAGAGAGCTCTTGCTGTTCCCATTCCCTCCTCCAGAGGTGGGATCTGGAGCCGCACTCCTTCCCTTTCCCTTCGTGCAGCTGCTGGTCGTGCTGTTGTTTCAGAGCAGGTATGTGGCTGCTGTCACAGGTGGGATGACATCTGGCCTGGTTTGCCCAGTGTCAGCTGCTGCCCCTGGGACAGTTACCTGTATCCAACCAGTGCTACAGAAGTAGCTGCTGTAACTGCTTCTCTGGGGCCGTTAATGTTCTTCATTAGCAGGCGATTGCTGTGGCTAATGAGGCGTCTCTGGAAGACTTGTTTATTAGTGAAGCTCTGGTGCTGGAGTTGTGTCACAGGTTGCTTTCAGCCTCTGCTGGGTAATGAAAACAGTGATTAAAGCTGTCTCTGCCTTGTTGGACGCAGCTTCACCTGAGTTTTCAGCCTGCCTGGCTAGAGTTAATAAGCCAGTTCTTAATGAAGGCAGAAACCCTCAGCAGAAGATGAACGACTCCCTGTCCTCTATAGCAACAAGTAAACACCTGGTTTTGGGCTTCAGCCTTGGGATGGGCAGAGCTGCTAATTCCTAGAGGTGTTATGGAAACAGGCATGTGAGTGGGAGCTCAGTGCCTGCTGGTGCCCATGTGAAAGAGGCCGTGGTGCAGTTCAGTGCCTGCATGGCGGATTCCCAAAAGCTTTGCCCCAGGCTGCCACTGCCAAGGATAATAAATGTGGTTCCACCACCTGTGAGATGCCAGGGCTGCGTGCGGGCGGCCCAGGAAGGAGGAGAGGTGTCAGGCTCATCAGAGGCCCTTTTTTCCAGGTGCAGATCCAGGGACCGACCTGCGAGGGACGGGGATGCTGGGCTTGATGCAAATGCTGTACTTCGTGATGGACTCTCAGATGCTGCCTCTAGCTCTAGAGATTTTCAGGCTGTCCCAACACGAGACACAGGCACGTCCTTCCTCCTTCTTTGTTCGCCCTCTGCTGTGGTGTTTACCTTTTTCTTTCTAAAGATCAGGGGAAGGTAAGCAATGAAAACCTGCTGCTGTTCAGAGTTAGGGTTTGGCATTTTGCTCTTCGCCTGGTGGCAGTCTGCCAGTGATTTCTCTGTCAGCCTGAGGAGCTCGAATGTCGTTGGTCCTCCTCCCACCGGTCAGGTGAGGAAGGGCCCTGAAGTGCTGAGGAGTGCTGATAAGGGTGGAAGCCAAACCATTTGAGTTGGCTTTCTGCTGGGAAAAGGATTTTGATGAACAGAGCTTCCCTGGATCAAAAGTTTTTTTAATTTGAGACGCCGGTCTTAAGCTTGCATCCTAAGTTTGCATGTTAAGCTTACTTCTTGAGCCTGGATGGGAGCTTGGCTGGAGACACAACGTCCATCTGAGCCCATACCCACAGTATCACTGCTCCGTCCCTGACTCTGTTGCCTGCACCTGAAGCACGGCTTTAGGGCCACGCAGGTGCAGCATAACGGGGCCAGGGTGCCTCTGAGTGCTGGAAGAGAGGAGCTCCCTTCCAGCAGAGCTGACGCAAGGCTGGTTCTCCTGTAGAATTTCCCCTTCTGCATCATGTCTGTGAACATCACCCGCCTCGTGCTGCAGGCGCTGAGGGAGGAGTGCCTCTCCAGGTGAGCTGTGAGCCGCCCTGAGCTGGGCGGGAGGAGCAAAGGCCTCCCCTGGGCTGGGGGGGGTGGGCAGCGCTGGCTGAGGCCTCTGCCCCCGGCCAGGGAGTGCAACCGCAGGCGGCAAGTCATCGCCGTGCTGAACGACCTGTATGCGGCGGCGTTCCTGCAGCTCTACCGAGTGTGGAAGTCGCAGCACAAGACCGTCGCTGACTCTGGCTTCCTCCTGAAGGGTGCGTTGTGCCACGCTTTGCCCCCTGATCCTGGCTGGGACGGCGGCTCGAGGCTCAGGGAAGGAGCCCGGTGTGTCTGGAGCGTGCTGTGGGGTCCTGTGGAGATGAGGGGCTGCACGCACAGCCTCACTTCGTCTGCACACAGAGGTTTTGTACGGCTGTGATGCTGACCTCAGTGTCGTGTTGTTTTTTTCCCCTTTCGACATCTCCAATATTAAAACCAGCCCCCTGCACTCAGAGGTGCGTGTTGCCGCCTTTGGGAGCCACGCTGTGCTCTGGTTCTCACAGCTCACTGATGTCTGTGGCACACGGTTGCTTAAGCTCTGTTTGCAGCGCGCTACGTGCGTGGAGCAGTGTGCACTGAACAGCAGGGATGTTTCAGGGCTTCTGCTGCTGAGCTCCGC